ATGACCGTAGTTCCTACAGTACAAAACAAGGTCTGTAATTTAGATTCAATACTTATAAGAGATCTGAAAAGTACATTAGGTCCAAAATAGGGYTGTCACAAATGATTATTTTAATAATCGATTAATCACCGATTATTTATTCGATTAGTCGACTAATCGGATCATAAGTTAATTGAATATAAAACATAGAGCTTATCACGTCAGAATTCAGCTGCTATTGTAAAACCATGGTTAGATTTTAGCTATATGCTAACTAAAAATAATTGCTGTGGAAGGTAAGTTCTGCTCTGCAGATTTTGCACAGGTTTCTCTTTCATTTTCTTAAAATGATCCCACACTTTTGAGCTCCGTTGCTGGGTAKCCATGATACCAGAGCCTGTCTGTATAATGTCTTGTGACGTCCACGGTCTACCCCAGTTACCACTACTGTGCATGTGTGTCAAGGACAGAAAGGCAGATGTGGCAGTGGAAGGTGTCAAAGCAGTTTGGAGAGAAAAACAAAGTAAAGAACAACAAAAAAAGAAACGATTAATTGATTATTAAATTAGTCATCGATTATTTTAATAATCGATTAGTCGTTGATTAATCGATTAATCGTGGCGGCCCTAGTCCAAAACAACTTTTTGATTATCCAGGAAACCTGGGAGCAGCAAAGCAGCCGATATGAATGATAGTGCTGGGCGGTATACCGTTTTGTACTGAAAACTAGTTTTTATTTTTGTTATGATATGACTTTTCTGAATACCGGTATAGCCTGAACACGTGCATAACGTTTCGTCGCAGCCGCCAGTGAGCTGTTTCCCTGGGGACACGTTTCGTTGCAGCACCGCTAAGCGCATTAGCATGCTAACGTTATTGTTGGAACAACTGGTGGCAGGTGGTGTGTTTCAGCCACTTATATGGTCTAACGTAAAAAAAAAATCCAGTTTTCACCATCGCTGAATAGTAAACAACTCTTCAGTGACGTGCACGGTTAGATTTAACGTGCTACGTTATAACGGAGACGTTATTGCATGGAGACTCTAGCATGCTTCTATTGTGAAAAGCCCAGTGGAAAGTAGCTTTGTAGTGTAGCGGAGTTGCCTGGTGTGCAAGGTGAGTCATCCTTATTTTATTAACGTGTTTTATTAACACATAACAATAGACCAGATAATGATTTTTTTCTCAACCCTTCACGGTCGGACCAAAATGCATGATTACTGTCTACAACTAGGCAAAGAAGAAAAGACGTACAAGAGGAGGGAAACAGTGATAAAAGAAAAAAGTCAATAAGCAAAGTTTGTACATTTTATTATCAGCTGGCCTGTGAGGGAAAAAATACCATCAAATACCGTGAAACCGGTGTAATTGTTGAAAATACCGTGATATAAAATTTGGGTCATACCGCCCAGCTCTAATGAATGATCGTTTATCAGAAGTTTAAAGGGAGGTATTATGCAAAATTGACATTTTTGAGCTTTATATCATGTTATAATGTCATTCCCTCATCAAAAACATACCCAGACTGTTGCTTTGACTCATTCATGCATGTTTGAGAAATCCTTTAATCTCCTGTGGCACCATGTGGAGCTCCCTAAATGCTTGCTGGTACAAAGCACCTCCTATTTACACAAAGCTCCTCCCTGGAGCTCAGTCTGCAGCTGAGCTCCCTCCCCGTAGAGCACCCCTTCCCCAAATTATTGTTATGAAGAGATGTTGAAGTGGGAGTGTCGGAAATGGTAGGAGCAGACAGAGTAAAATTTCAACAGTCCACACTTTCCCATGAAGTAGCCTTTTGAGTCAGTTGTCCAGTTACTTACTGTTGGTCCCTTTAAAAGCAGGGTGAGCACATGTTGAGGGTCTGTAATACTAAATCCTTCATCCATTTTTAATGTGGATACCCTSAAATGAAAACTGAAAGTCTGGAATTTATGTCTACGTCCTTTTTAAAACTATAACATGTTTCAGTAAGCAGGTAAAAAAAATTGTGTCTGTGTCCAAATAGATATAGACCTAACTGTAGCGCTACTGCTTTGAGGAAGTGAACCAGCTGCTCTGTCAGCATTGAGCATGTACTATTATGTTTGTCTGTGAATATAACCTTTAAAATGGACAATGCCTAACTGCATTGTGTGTCATTGAGAGAGTACATGTTTATTTTAAATTAAGAGTTCGCCATAAAATCCTATAAAATGAACTTTATGTAGAAACAAGACATGCATTTTATGTTTCACCCGTAAAATGTGTTCCTAATTCCACTCAATGCTGTTTATCTCTGTGCAGTGTTGCCTTTCTCTGCCCCTCCCCCTACCTGTCCTCCTTCCTCCCTCTTCTTTTTTTTTTTTTTTTTTTTTTTTACTAATTCTACTCAGCCTGCTTGACTCCTCCTCGCTGCATAATCACATGGTGTTTATACCTCCTGGTCTGAATTACATTTCATTTCAGAGGCTTCTAATACCTGTGTGCTCGCTACGTTTTTTATGTTCAAGTCTGTAAATGAAAAGCACATAAAACACTGAAGTAACTATATGTTTAAAAGAACTGTTGCTAAATAGTCTTTGGACAGAAAGAAAGATGGTGGAGGTGCTTTCTTCTCTGTCTCGTGTATAAATTATTCAACTGCAGCATTAGCTCAGTTGCAACGCTGTGTTTAGGACTGATGTGATCAGTGGTCTGTGATGTGGGGATCTCTCACTCACACATTCACACAGTAAGTTCAGAGCTCAGACTCCATATTACTATGATGGTTGTCAGTTATTTGAATGTTGAGGCTAATCCTAAATAAATATCAAAGATACTGTCATTTATATTTTGCGTTATCTCAGTTATTGTCAACATCTTTTAAAGTGGCACTTTATTGTAGCTGTATAATAACAGTACTATCTATACCCGTCGGGTTGTGGTGCTAACAGTCTTGGAAGTATTTTGTACTATTTAAGATACTGGACTTACCCAGTAGTCTTATTAAGACTTGGAAAGACCCATTAAAAATCCAGTTTTTCAATGTCAAATCGCTGCAGTGACTTAAGGGGATGAGATTGCCAAACTCAAGGTTGGCAGTTCAATCTCAGCTTTCCCTGACACATAACAAACATACACACACACACAAACACATACACACACACACACACACACACACACACACACGTTTTTTTTAAATCCTCGTGGGGACTTTACATTGACTTCCATTCATTTTCCAGTCATTTCTATTAGGGATGGGTACCGAATTCGATACTTTTTAAAGTACTGACCGAGTTCTGTCGGTAGTACTGAGAACCTATTCACGTAACATCAAACGGTACCATGTTTCGGTACCTAAACGCATCATTACGACCGTATTGGCGTAAGAGTGGAAGATTTTCCATGCTTGTCATGAATGCAGCATCACGCAAGACCGTAATGACATCAGCAGCCGCTGGTTCAGTAACAGAGTTCAGTCTGAACGTAGCTTGAAAGCCTCACAGCTCCTGGAGTGAAACTCACCGAACAGACCACCTCTGAATTATCTGGTGGATTACCAATTCACCCCACATGCATAACATACAACACAGCACAGTGACAGAGAGTGCTACCACAATTAAACTATTATCTATACCTGGCGGACCAACACTATATTAATAACTCCAAAATATACATCTAAACCAGAAAATAAAACTAAGCCTAACCTCAGTGAACCGTAAACAGTCATTAGAAGAAAGTTATTTTGATTAGATTCACCCCACTGTAAACATCCTATATACACTTACCAGACCACACCCCCAACCATTTCTGACCCCTCCTCCAATTCTCGTCCTACTCTGCCTAAACCTTCTTTCTCTGAACTCTCCTCACCCTCTACAAAGCACAGCACAGGACAAACACTGAATATACTGGCTGAATTCTACTCGATCAGTAAACCTACACACGCCAGAATAAGCCAGCCATATTCCACTACATCTTACAACACATACAAATCAACAAGCTGTCTCCAACTGGAACAGCTGACTCCACTATGCACTTCCCATAAAGATAGGACCCAGTGGCCCAGGACTGGACCTGATCTCGAGCGAGTGTGCACTTCCTAAGGGATTCACCAACTCTGCGGAGCCATTGGGCGGCAGGTGGGACCCTCTGAGTAAATACTCCCTTAACCTGACCCCTTACCCTAAACTTAACCTCACAGGTACATACCTGACCAAAAACGTAACCTAAACTCTACACGTTAGTCCTAATCTGAACCCCTGACCCACCAACAGTATTTCCCTCAATGKGGACCGGGCTTTTGTCCCCATTAGGAACAATGGGTCCTCATCAGGCTGTGTACCGGGAAAATGTTCGAAAATCATCCCCACCATGTATCAAAAACTTGTACACACACCAGGAGTCCCTAAAAGACGGAATTGTTTTTTCAATGGGATCTTCCTGGTTGAATGAAGGACAAAAGAAAATCACATGATTCTGGATCTTAAAGTTGTTTAAAGTAAACACACAAAATATGACACGGGAAGTCTGTAATGATTTTCAGCTAATGAAACCTAAGCTGCTTTTTCACAGAATTGTTACCTGCCTTTAGGCTTATGTCTATTAGATATAAACTATATCCTAACCTAACCCAGCTTCTTGTTTACCATAAATAGTAATGACCTTAAATCTAACATTGGTATTTGTTAAATTCACTTTGCCTGAAGTTTTTAGTGTTTTAAAATAACTCCAAAACACCAGTTGCAGATTAGGACCTCGGATGGCAGGGAACCAGTCTGATAAAGAGAATATGTAAATTGTGTGGATGGGAGGTCACATTTCCAGGAAAGGGAAGTGATGACGCTGTGGAACAGGCTGAGGGGAGAACGCAAACAGGATGCTATCTGCTGCGACTTCCTGTGCACTTTTAGAAATGAGCCTTTTTCCCATGAATTTCTGAAAGGATAAATATATAACAAGCTATTGCTATTTTCATAGGAGGCAGACATGTTGAGGCATTCAGACATTTCCAGGGAGCTGCAGTTCATGACCTTGTTTTTTTTKTTTTTTTCTGTTTTCAGGAGATGTTCAGGAGACAAGTCTGAGACGTGACGTAGGCCCTGAATGGAGTTTGACTGTGGCTTGTACTGGCTAAGGTGAGCAGGAATTGCTGATTTAGGGATTTTAAATGAAACGCACAACTTGATGTTCACGTCGAATGGGTCTTTTATGAAGGCRGTTTTAATTATGGCATGCATCTGATGTAGGTTTCTCTGATGCTTTGTGCAACAGCAGAACAGGTTTCACACTGCCAGACCTATASAGCCCCAGCTGTGGTTTCAGTGGGCTGCTTCTTCCGATCTCTCACTTTTTTCCTGCACGTGCCGTCTGCTTTCAAACTTTAATTGTGTCAGATGTTTAGTAGATGTAAAACATCAGCAGGAATGTCCCAAATATGAACATTTGAACTACAACAGTGTGAGTTGCAGCTTTTGAAACTATGTGGCACCTGAATAGTTTTTTTTTTTACAGTTTAATTTAACACTGATGGAAACTTTTTATTGAAGGAGGCAATAATTCTTCTCTGTTTTAAACTAAATATAGTACTCAGAAAGGCTTCCAGCAGCCAGAGCTTTGCTGTTTGTCTGTTTCAGGATGCGAGTCTGGCTGAGGGCTGATGTCATTTTTTTTTCTCTACTGCTGCAGAGGTGAGCCTTAGGACAGAATGCAGGAAGAAAGAAAGAACTGGGAGGTCAGCGAGAGTCACGTCCGGAGCACGACGAGCAGATTTAGAGAGAAGGGTGCTGAAAGGTAGACAGACAAGAAGCATGCAACGCTGATTTACAGCTCAGAGTGCATGTCTGAGACCTGGTGTTCTTGTAGTACTCGCAGAAATGTTAAAAGACTGGGCTACTACATGTCCTAGCCTGCATTTACAGAGCATGAGTTGCGTAATGGCTCCCGTCCGTTCTACAGTTTTCCACTCTGGAATGAGCTCATTTGGAGTGTTTCGTGTGCACACATCGCAGACTCAAAGGTCCAGGATGAGGCTGTAGTAAAACGACCTGGTTGCGTCGCCTCAGGCTGCAGCTTTGTGCACTTCTCTGGGTGGAAATAGGAAAGAGCAGTGACCTTAGAAGCTGGCTACAGGGGTTTCCTCCGATGTGAACTCTGAGGGTCAGACACAGGGCAGTGCCAGAGCAAGAAAACAAGAGCGGGGTTCTAAGCTCAGTGGTGCTACAACCAGATCGGAAAGGAGGGACTGAGAGAGGGGAGGAGTTGTCTGGAGGTGATACGAGTAAAATAGGGAATTTATGGGGAGAACGACTAGTTGTAACCATGTATGGAGCCTGCAGAGTGAAGAGAATGTGGCAGGGAGATGATTCTTCTTACTCTTTTTATTGGTGCACACAGTGAAGCTTGCTGGGATAACTCTGCAAGCTTGTGTGCATTCTTTGCTTGTGCAGAGTCCTAAGGAGATCAACAAAGAGCCTGGTTGGTGGGGACAGCAGCTTCTAGCATTCTTTTTCACACAGATTGTGCTGCAACATGCCTGAGCATGTAAGTGCCCTGGAAGCGGTTTGTATAAGCAGTGTGCGTGTGTGTGTGTGTGTGTGTTGCTGCTGTTAACAGAATGGCAATGTTCTAGTGGGCAGGCTGGCTGAACGCAGGATGACCCAACTCCCCCGAGGCTTGAAATCACTACATCATCATCAGTCCCTCCTCACAGTGGAACAGATGAGATTTCACTCTCATCAAACATGGAGCAGAAAGAAAGAGAGGCTGCTTTACTAAATGGATAGTCTGTCTTTACAGAACTGTAGAAGTATGCTATGTAATGTTCACATGAAAGTCATTTGATTTATAGCTATTTGTGAGCCATCATATCGAAATGAGGATTAAGTCAAATTTGGTCAAAATGACCTAATTACATTTTCAGATCCCTGGCTTTAAAAATTACATTTTGATACCTGGATCATCCTGATATCKTAAGCTTTTCCAGAGATATGACTTAATTTATCTTGTTGGTTACGATAGTACATTACTCTTTGTCTGAATACTAATTTTATGTAAATTTATTGACTAATATTTTTTGTCAATATAAAGAGGGAACCTCAAATAGTATTTATTTATTAAGATTTCCCAATTGGAAAGAAACAAAAACATTACTAGCTCACAGGGGAAAATTCAAAATTTTAAGGCGTTTTTCCTCAAAATCAGATTTTTTTGTTGCTACTGCTAAAAAAATGCTTCAAAAAAATTTTAGGATTATATTTCAAACAGCTCATTCAAATGATACGTTGGTAAGGCATTAATTCGTTATATTTTGACAAAAGGCAATTTTTGCACACGTTTAAATCAAAACCCTAAATCTGCCTATTTCTCCACATTCAAACTTTTGAACTTAATCCTCATTTCGGTGTGATGGGTCACATTTATTTCTAGCTAAGAACACTTTCTATTCCATCCTTAATTAAATTCTACCAGGCAATCATGTAGCATCACTCTGTGTCCTCTCTGACTGTGTTACCTTCAGGTGCTGATACGTGCTGAAGATGAGTGGCGTAGGAGACAATTTATTAGAGTCGCTGAGCTCCGATCGCAAACGTAAACTCTCCACCTGCGACACACCGGGTTTAGGGTGAGCACTAATATTATTAATTTACTCTTGTGTGCTTCTACCATCCGTCCACATCTCCACAGCTGTGTAATGCGACCACTCTCCTCCTGCCCCTTACGTAAACATCGCTGTGTTAGCCGCTCCCTGAATGTCTCCCRTACGGCCGGGACGTGGGGAGGCGAGGTGGTCATGGCAACGTGTCTAATCCCCTTTGGCTCCCCGGCAGGTGTGACAAGCGTCGGAGGGAGCAGGAGAGCAAGTACATMGAGGAACTGGCTGAGCTCATCTCCGCCAACCTCTCTAACATCGACAGCTTCAACGTCAAGCCTGACAAATGTGCTATTCTCAAGGAGACCGTGAGGCAGATCAGACAAATCAAAGAGCAAGGTAACTCCTCTCTACAAGTCACACAAACAGCTCCTGGTCAGGAGAAGAAACAAACACACACGTTTTGTTCTTTGTTTTTTGAAGTTGGGTAATTTCTTTGAGAGGTAAACAGCAGATTGGGTTAGGTTCAGTAAATACCCTGATGCCAGTGATGAAGTGGAGTGTTTGGTTGATGGCCAGGAGGTTTCAGAGCAACAGCTAGTTTGGCTCTTTCTACTGCCTGGGGTAAATTAACACCAGTAATTGAAACCAATCCTTGGTGGTCATGGCTGGAGGCTGTGGGTGACAGTCTGTGTGTCTTAGGGCCAAGAGAGATGAATAACTCAGAAATCAAACATTAGTGTTGCTCATATCCCTCTTTAATTAAATGTTTTCTTTATTTCCCTGTTTTTAGCCTGATTTAAGATGGGAATTAATGAAGATAGCAGAAGSCTTATTGGGACCTGCCCAGAGGTTCATTTTGTTTGGCAGCAGATCACCAGTTTTTCTTCCTCTTGTCCGTCTTTTGTCTCTTCGCCATATCTCTGTTCAGTTTGTTTTGTGTGTTTTTACTTTTATCTGTGACTGCCTCTTTATTCAGCCTTTATTTTGAAACGGGTTTRAATCCAGTGTTGTTCGGTGCCTCGTCTTCAGTAGAGCCTCGCTCCGCAGATGACCCTGCTATATTGAGTRGTATCTATCAAAGCCTTGGACACATGACGGTTTTAAAAATAGAAAGGCATGTCAGACATGCAGCTAGGACTTGTGCTTCCATCTGGTGGCCTGTTGAAGTATTTCAGTTGTCAAAGCTTGGGAGGAAAAAAAAAAAAAGGACAGTTTGAAATAATCCCGACAGGTTGGTGAATGAAATCCAGAAATCATGTTCACATCTAAAGCAAAGCAGTCTGTCATCTTAGTAGTCTAACATAGCTTGTTCTGGTTGGGTTAAATATTGTAAATAATTTACACAATAATAAATGTGGGGAAAAATGTTTAAATGCAGAATTGCGCAGTTATAACTCTGTTAAAAGTGCGTTGTGCCTAATCTTTTCAGGAAAGAACTCTTGCAACGATGATGATGTGCAGAARGCAGATGTGTCCTCCACTGGTCAAGGGGTCATTGACAAGGACCATCTGGGGCCGCTACTCCTACAGGTCAGCAATAATGACTCTGAGGCAACAAACCCTGCTGCTGCTRTATAGTCCTTCAGCCCTACATCAGTGGTTCCCAAMCTGTTCAGACTTGTGTACCCCCTGAGCCATTTTGCCTAGTACCCCTTCTGTCAAACGTAATGATGATTCTCCAAAACTATAATGTACAACAGCTGATTATTAAATGAAAATTATTTATTTAACCCCCTAGAATGTTTAATTCTTAGGCATTTTATTTTTTTWAACTCAAATCAAACATGAAGATAAAAATGTTGCCTTGCAGGTGAATAAATAAACSGGGTGATAGCAGCGTCCAAAATACRTCAGAAACTCACGCAAATAAGCAAATTCCATGAGATTCCACGTTTTTATACTGGATTCCATTTTGTGTTAATTCCATTTGCATTTTCTGCATTGCGGAAATCATAGGTACTTAAAAATCTCAGTCCTATTTTTATTTAGTTATTTTTTTACACACCTGGGAAATTATTATTATTATTATTATTTTTTTTTTTTTTTTTTTGCTCGCGTACCCCTGGTTGGGAATCATTGCTCTACATGCTCATGAACGTCTCAACTATTGTTAAAACAGGCACTGTTTTTATGTATTTTATTGTTTGCAGGCGTTGGACGGCTTTCTGTTTGTGGTGAATCGAGAGGGCAGCATTGTGTTTGTGTCGGACAACGTGACGCAGTACCTGCAGTACAAGCAGGAGGAGCTCATCAACACCAGCGTGTACAATATTATCCACGAGGAGGACAGAGAAGAGTTTCACAAGAACCTGCCCAAATCTAATGGTGAGACACCAAACAATTATTACCGCACGTAACTGATCCGCTGCAGTTATGTTCACCACTTTGTTTACATCTTTGGCTCTCTTCAAAGCACCAAACGGGGCACCGTGGGGGGGAGACGTGCCTCGTCAGAAAAGCCACACCTTCAACTGTCGAATGCTGGTCAACCTTGTTCACGGTCAGACTCATGGGCTGTCAGAAGAAAGACAGGGGGGTCAGCGCTATGAGACCATGCAGTGTTTTGCTCTGACCCAGCCCAGGGCCATGATGGAGGAGGGAGATGGTAAAGTTACTGTTCACAGCCTTTAAGTGTGTGTTTGTACATGGATGTACTTTAGTATTTTTTAAGCAATTTTCAAGCTTCTCTGTTTTCTCAATTTACATTTTACTAACCATACTGATTGTTTAGTCTGTTTGGTTCAGTCTGATGAGAAGATATTGTCATATCTTCAGATTTACAGTCATGYATGATCTGCGTGGCACGACGTATCACTGCAGGAGAGAGGATGGAGCGGTTTAGCACTCGGCATGAACTGACTGGTAGGTATTACCTCCAACAGTGTGTTTATCAGCTGTAGTTGTAAGAAAAACTGAAGCAAGTTTCATAATTTTTCCTCAACTTTTCAACTGTTCAAACCCTGAACCTTGTGACAGCTTACAGACAGCTTGCAGTTTCACTGATGAATTCCTGACATTTCTGTGGTGAGATCTGTTGACCCCTTGAAACAACAGAGAATATGAAAATAGATGGTGGCCCTAAAGCTGAGGGAGGGTGTCAAAAAATAAGGAGAACCCTGTGTATTACACAAGTGTGGTTAAGAAGAGCTGTTGAGATAATGGCAAGCTTGGGAAGCAAATGTTCAGATAAAGATGTAGGTCTAACCCAATGTTGCACAATCAGGCCTCACATCGTAGACTCCAAAATAAGAAAAAAACACAGTGGAGAGATTTTCTTTATACTGTATCATTGTATATTTTCTTCAAGAAACCCAAACCTGTGCTTATCATTAAATATGTAGTTTATAACTGATATGTTTTCAAGTGTATGCAGAGATTTTAGTCAAAATTTATTTGCATTTCATTTAATCAGTCTTCATGTTTAAAAAAATAAAGACAAAATCTTCAAGTATGCCAATAATTCACATTATTGTGACAGTGTGTTTGTACTCTAAGTCATGTCAGATTGTATTAGGAATATTACACCGCAAAGTTTTCTTACTAATTGTTCATCTTCTGTTGCAGGTAAGCTAATTGAAATTGAACACCAGAGCTCTATTCACACCACCATGCTTCCAGGATGGGAGGACCTGGTCAGACGCTGCTTGGTGGTCCTCAATCGAAGTGATGGACAGTCATGGTCATTCAAACGCCACTATCAAGATGGTGTGTAGTTCTCAGCCGTCAAACCCCTCGTCAGTGTAGTTCATATCTCAGGAACGCCTTGTGTTTGCAAATTATGGATATCAACTGACCTGTTCTTCAGCTTCATTTGCTTTTTAGCTTTTAAATACATTGCCTCAAATGTAATAATAGTCTCAGGGTTTAAACAAGATCTAATTCACAGACACTGGCATCATTTTTCATTTTACATGTGGAGTTTGCATGTTCTCCTTGTGCTTGTGTGTGGGTTTTCCCCCATACCCCAAAAATSTGTACTTTCTGTCGTTATTGACTCTTGTTTTGAGATTCTGGTACCCCCAGCTGCTGCCAGTCAGATGCCCACTATAAGATTTATTGTCAAGAAACATTGTTACAACAAAGAAATAATCTACCAAACTCTAATTTCCTGTTTTCTTGTGCGAAGTATATATA